AGGGTGTAGTGGAAGGTGAGCCTCGATTTCTTCGATTACTGTAGGTGTGATTTTTTTCATCTTCACATTTAATGTTGGCTCGAAACATTTAGTAACTTATAAGAAAATTTTATGTAACTAATGTTTGACATAAATATATATTTTTTAATACCTACGCTATTACGTAGTCAACTATATCAATGCACGTGCTTATCGCTAATAATTTATAAAAAGTATGATGGCATGCCAATTTATGATGAAGAGGTCAAAGAGTTTTTAGATTTCTAGGGAGACAATTGAGGTGGTCTCCCAATTTTCGATTAGATCAGGTAATTGTTCAATCAATTGTTAGATTGAGCATGTTTTCCTAGTCTATTATTTTATTGGCATGGGAGATGTGGCATTGGGAATGATAGAGGAATTTGATGATAACATTTTAGTTTGGGAATTTGATCATTTTTATTTTCGAGCATCTCAATTTTATATCGATTATGTGGGATTTGCACTTGCATTATTGATGGAAATCTCATGTCTACGTAAAGTAATAAAGAAGCTTAATTTGTTGAGTTGGGGAATGCTCCAATGACAACCTAAAATTTGGAGCTATTATTATTAATTTTTTTTAATAACAAAGTAGAATTTCATTCAACTTGAAAAAAAATTACATCATTGCATCATGCTTAGTAATGTGTGAGACAAAATCTGGAGGATCACCTCACCACACTACCAAGTCATTTAGATACCAAGAATTCCTAGCAAGACAATGTGCAGCTGAATTAGATAGACGACTTACATGCCTCACATCAATATTCGGAAATCTATTCATTAAGAATTGAATCTCCTGTATCAAGTTACCCGATAGGGAGAAAGATTCATTTTGTACCTTTGTTACTTCTTGGACCACCAACAATGAATCACTTTCGACTTGTAAGCTCGGTATGGACAAAGGTAAGCATATCTGTAGGCCTGTCAACATTGCTAGAAGCTCTGCCTCCATTGGATCCATACTACCCCTTTCTGGTTTACTAGCTGAGAAGATTACCTTTCCTGTTGCATCCCGTAGGACCACCCCCGTCCCATATCGGCATTGATCCTCAAATAAGGCTCCATCCACATTAAGCTTTAGGACCCCTTCTGGTGGTGCTCTCCACCCCTCACTGCAAGATATCCCTTTTTTTCTCTGTTCCTTTGCATATTTAAAGTCACCGGCAATATTAAAAGCATGAGCAATGGCCATCAATGGAGTAATCATCTTTTGCTCAAAAATAAACTGGTTTCGGCTGTACCACAATCCCCACAAACATAAGAATAGTTCCTCTAGTTGACCAGGGATGTTCCTGTTTATTGCTAGATTCACTATCTGTGTTATATCCCGTTGCTTAGGATTGTTTTTTAAGAAGCTCAGCTTAGTTGACAACACCTGCTCGATTCTAGAACAGTATAGCAACGCATTGTTTATATCCTCTTCCTCTCTGTTGCAGAATTTACATATTACATCTTCGACTACTCTCTTGGTCATTAAATTTCGAAGTGTTGGCAGCCCATTGTGGCAAACTCTCCAAGCAAACACTCTTATCTTGTGGGGGGTTTACATTTTCCAAATTTTATTCCACATTTTCCGTTGATCATCTGCATAGGATACCTCGCCAAGGGGTTTATCACCAAAAGTCTTCAAAAACAGCCTATAACCACTTTGAACTATATAAACACCCTTTTTCTCTGGTTGCCAAATCAGAACATCCGGTTTGCTTTGTCCTCCCACTAATTGTAGTTGGAGTACCTCATATCAATCTCTTGGATGTAGCAATCTGGACACCTTCTCAATATACCATCGTCGAGTGTGCTCATCAATTAGTGGGGATGCTGTCCAGTCTATTTGGTCTTCAGTAACACCATCTGGGCAATTTATTAAAAGGTGGTTCGGCATCCAATGATCGTTCCATATGTTTATCTCCTTCCCATCACCGACTCGCCATCTGCATCCTTCAAATAACAGTTTCTTAGCCACCCATATGCCTCTCCATACATAGGATGGGTTTGCTCCCAATTTGGCATTTTTAAGATGTCCATGAGGGAAGTATTTAGCTTTGAATATCCTTTGTATTAGTGATCCTTCCTCTTGTAGAATTCTCCAGCCTTGTTTTGCTAAGAGCGCCATATTGAAAGCATGAAGATCTTTAAACCCCATACCTCCT